GTCTCTTAGTGAGGCACCAGGTTTTGCTTCAACAGCTTTCCTTTCCTTGCAGGTCTGCAGGTTTGGGTTACCTCTCTGACTTCTCTCTGTTGTCTGGGCAGAGACCTTATTTTTTCCAGTAGCTGACTTTGGGAAATGTTCATTTATTTGCATCATTGTGCCCTTTCATGCTAGCTGAGTTATATGTTTGAGCCATCTTGTCAAACCATAACATTGAATAGGCTTAGATTCTCTAGAAACCATAGTCCTCTTCCCAAGGAAAGACACCTTCCTCAATACTACAGTAATCTTCCTAATGCCCAGAATGATATATTTATATGACAGTCTCAGCTTTTATTTCAAAAGTAAGGATTTTTTTTTTAATCGCCGTTGTCCAAGTTCAGATTGAAATCCAAGTTTAGCCCAGAGGCTTAAATATTTAAAAGTACCCCAATATAATCACTATAGTTAAAATTAATGTTTTAAAATTTCTAGACTTTTAAAGATTAAAAATTTGATGTGTAAACAGTTGCATTTAGAAAAAAAGATTAAATATTGTACTACTTCTGCACAGCTTGATTAGAAAGAAACCTCTTTGAAGCTGGAGCCTCCACTCCAGTTTTTCTGACAAAAAGAGTTATTGGGACATTTTCCTTCATTAGCTTCAGAAGTTAGCATCATATAATAACAAATCAATGAGCTAAACACGTTCTAATTAATTACTTCGGGGTTATTTGATTGACCACATAGTCAATTCCTTGAATAAATCAATGCACACTGAGCAAGTTAAGCTTTTCAAGGACTGTAGGCTGAAATTCAGAGAAAAGGAAAGCCAGTAACAAACACTGCACGAGACAGAGTAGCTGCATTGCTCTTTTTCAGCAAATTACAGGCTTGATATTTCAATCACTTGCTACCTCTTGACTTTAAGACAACTACTTTAGTAAAAAGCACTTGGTCTGCAATGATTAATATTATTGTCAGTTACGATATTTTCGCCACGGTACCTCATTAACTATAATCTATGCAACTGAAAATAGAACATCTTTCTTAAACTGAGGGAGAATTGAGTTCTACTGCAGTCTTGACGGCTTTGTGTTTGCAATAAGATCAGAAGAGCTGGAAAGGCTCACACTAAAATCCTACTGGCCTTTACCTGCATACAGCCTCAGCTTGGTGGGCTAGCAAGACTTTGCTCCTAGCTCTTCAGCTAGTATCCAACCAAGGCATTGATTTGTTCATGCTTTCTTTGTGCAGTCTACTAACCTAACCCAAGGACTCAGCTCTGAGATCAGCCAAATGGGGAGAACCTGGTGTGGGACAGAAGCTCGGTTACCTTATGACACTGTAATTTATAGGGAAGCTTGGGACTGTGTTAAGTAAGGGAACCACAATGTTAAACTCCTGCTCAGGTTCTTTTATCTCTTGCTCTGAGACAGAGTACTGTGAACGAATGCAGATACTAGCTCTAGTCTAGGAGGAAAAGAAGCTATTTCTCGTCATGGTGCCTTAGAGCTTCCAGTCAAAGAGGAAAAGTGGCATATAACTGAGGCATATTTGCCCTCCTTTCAGCTCCACAGCAGCTTTGGAGACAAAGCAAAGTGACTAAAGTCATGCCGCTGTCATGCCACTTCATTTAAAGACATTATTATGCAAGTAACTTTTTGAAATCAGCTAATACTAAATCAGCTAGGACTAAAATCAGTCAGCATGGCTTTTGCTGTTCTCTAGATGACTCCGAAAGGGTGCTGACAGATATACAGGTCTCTAGCACCAAATTTCCAGTACTGACAAGACTTTAGATTTTGGGCATGTGGGGATTTTGGGCATGTGGGGGATTACGGGCAAAGCTGGCCATTCTCCTGCCATGAAAAGGTAGGCCACAAAGATGATTGAGGGATTGTAGCATCTCTCATATGAGGAGAGGCTGAGAGAGTCTAGAGAAGAGGGAGCTCGAGGCAGAGCTTATCAGTGTGTATAAATGCTTGATGGGGGAGAGCGAAGAAGATAGAGCCAGACTCTTCTCAGTGGTATCTGATGAATGGATAAGAGGCAAAGGGCGCAAAATGAAATACAAAACATTGCATTTAAACATAAGAGAAAACTTTTACTGTGAGGCTAGTCAAACACTGAAACAGGTTGCCCAGAGAGGCTGTGGAGTCTACGTTCTTGGAGATACTCAAAACTGGACTGGATGATGTCCTGAGCAGCTTGCTCTTGTTGATCCTGCTTTTAGCAGGGGAATTGGGGCAGGGGTCCCTTCCCATGTCAGCTATTCTGTGATTTTGTCATTCTGTAAAATAAATTCTAAAAAATTAAATGTTTATTTAGAAGCTTTAAAAAAGAACAGAGGAAGGTAGTCTTTTTTTAAGGATAGTTCAAAAGATTTAGGTTTTATCTCCTCTTTTCTTCTTTTATCTCCACTACTTTATGTTCCTTCCTTTATCTCCTCTACCTTTTACCACCAACAATGACAAAATGCAAAAGTGAGATTAAAGAAAGAGGAAAACAATAGTTAACCAATTTTTTTCTGAATATTTTCTAATTATAAGGAATTTTTAGACTGAAACATAACAATCAGCTATGGCTTTTTTTGTGAATTTGAAGTAAGAAAAGGTTTTGTTCTACAATAGTACATTGTCTTTCTGAGAGGTTCCCTGAAGGTAATTTCTGTGAAAGGGATGGAGAACCCATGGCCCACACACTAAGTCAAACCCGCAGAATAAATGTCGCCTGCCTTTCCCTGTTATGTAGCTTTTAAATCTCCTAAGTGATCGGGAAGAAACAGACTGCCCTGGATTATTTGTTCTTTCACACACTGATGAAGTGTGTTTGTTATATCATGAAACAACAGCTTTCTCCTATGACATGGTCACTACACATCTGGTTGAGAGCTGGGAATTTCTTGGGCACTCTACCACCAGAACTCCTGTGGATTAGATTAGTCAAAAGTTTCTGCGTTCCAGTACAGTACAAAGTACATCAGATCTTAACCCATGGTTTTACATGTGTTTCCCTCATTCAGATTGTCATTAAACAGGTGAGGACATAAGCTGTGTGCTAATCATTCTCTCTGCATCCCTGTTCCACTGGACATCAGTAGGTTTGAAGGGTCAAGTTTATCCAACGAAATAAACATACTAAATTTACTTTGGTGAACATCAACTGTAGACATGTAAAAATGCCTGCAGTTTAAATATCTTCATTTGAGCTAGTTTTCTTGATTTTTATAGTCAGTAGAGAGAAACAGGTATTTCTGCAATATGAATCATCTTGTCTTGAAAGGCAGTTGTCTAAGATCAGATGACTACCTACCTGTCTGGTTTCTTGGCAAATGGAGTTTAGCATAAAGAGCTCACAAGTTGATATTTACTCTGACATCTACATTTGGTCAGGGGAAGTCCCCTAAAAAAAAAAACAAACTGTAAACAACATTAAATTTATAAGCAAATATTGGCTTAGTACATAAAGCATCATAAGGAGAAAGGGGAGATGCTACAGGTATTACTCCAGAGGACTCCGGCATGTAGACAGTGGGGATGCTGGAAACCCTTGCCTCCCGGACTACATGAGATCTCCAATTCACTTTCACTTTCTGTGTCAGTAACTCCGTTCATCTAATGTAAGCACATTTTGCTAATTCAAGAAAATGAAAATAGCAGACTCATTAAGTTAAATTTACCATGCTTGTAGGCTTTGCAAGGCATGAAACGTTGTGACATATATTATTGATATTACAGATTAAAGTAGCTGTGAGGGAGCTAGCCTATTGTCCTTCTGTAGAAAAGTATGTCTGCAAGGAAGCGTGAAAGGTTTTAATATGATTCAGTCTCTCAGGTAAGAAGATAAATATTCAGTTATTTTCCTCTTTCTAATTGCACTTAGCATCTGTATTCTTTTATTCAAGAACAACTCTTCGGGAGCTTTTTCTAGACCCTTAGATAAACAAATGGAGCTATGTTTCTTGTTTTAGAAACTAATTATGCATTTTGGGAAACTAGGAAAATTGCATCTTAAAAGTAAACACAGTTAAAAGAGCAAAGAGAATTCCACGGAAAGTACATACTTAAAAATATTAATGTTTGGTTTACAGATTTGTAAAAGTATGAAAAATAGACTGGCCACGCCATTTTGCATATCTGCTTTCCCCTGCATTAGCTTCTGGGTTACAGGTGCTTATCTAATGTTCCTAACGTTTAAAGCACAATACGAGACTCCTCCTTTCTATTCCCAGTAGTCTGAAGTGGGTCCTTGTGCTGTTCTTTCATGGCCCAGATGTGGAGAACTGCAGAGGAGCTGTGGTCAAACATACTCCTGAGCACCTTCAGCGATTTTCATATTTTGACTGGTATTTTGAACATTTTCCCAAGATGCATTGCATCCATCCTTTTCAAAAACATAAGTATTTTTGAGAATGTTTTGGAAAAATAAGCAAAAACACAGATTTTCTTAGAAACAGAAAGACAAATGACTAAAAAGTAAGTGATATTCAGGAATCAAGGCTTCATCTTCAAATGCTCTCTAAAGTCCTTGCAAATCAGTGTTAATTAACCTGCACTCCATTCATTTCCAGTGCTTCTGCCTGATTAGAGACCAAAGCGCAAGATCAGTGTCTAAATGGTTCCTAAAAGAAGATACCCACAGAAATTACGCTTCCAAGATCATGGAGGTTTGGGCCAAAGGAGTAGTGTATGATTTTGACATGAAAGTACTATAATACCTGCTAAAACCATGGCAGGGGGTGGGTGGGTCTGTTCAGGCCACACTTCAAAGTGCAGACTGGATACAAAATGACTTAAAACAAAATCATAATTAAAATAAATACATATTTACCATGAAATTTCAACATTTGATCAGAAAAATTGAGACCTTATGGTTAGGTCTGAACTATTGGTTTGGGGTGTATATACATATGTATATATATATATATGATATACATATATGTGTGTGTATATGCTTATTATATATTTGTGTGGGTGTATATATGTGTAGGTATATACCTACATATAAAAATCAGGATAACTAAGAAAGAGGAAAATCAGCAGACAGCAGAGCAAGCGTGTAACATAGAAGCTGCAAGACTGCAGTAATTTCAGCAGCAATAGCACAACAACAATTGTAAGGTGAAATCACGGGATAGATTCTGTGTCATCCATACGACAAGGCTGTGCGGAAGTGGAGATATAAGTTGATTGTGGTCTTTGGTAGGTTTCCACTGATGAAATGTTTCCACTGGAGTCAGGCTTTCTAGAAAACATGCAGTTTTCAAACTCTGCCGAGAGGATATCTGGCATGAGGTCAGGTCCCTGGCAGGTGTAAGTTAGATGTATTGACTTTACACTGTCTCAGTGAATTTTACACTAGTTGAAGACAAAAACTTTCTCTGCCATACAAATCTAATAGTTTTACAAAATTTCTCACAAAAATACATGTGTGTGTATTTTTTGGGTAATATTTGTACTTTTTAGGGAATTATCTGACTTAGAGTAATTCAGCTGTTTCAGGCATCTTTGTAATGGAATGTAAAGAGGATTCCTGCAGTTGCAAGACATTGGCTAGAAAGGTGTTCCTGTGCCCTAGTAAGAGCAGAAAACACTAGCTAAAAAATTATTTAATTTGTTATTCCTTCCTCCAGTTGCATGCATGGCAGAGAAATGGCATTTCTAAAGGAAGCTTAAAAGTAAGAGCTCTTCAATGCTTAATTATTAAAGAGCAGATTGTTAGGCCAGAATTTTGATAACTGTAATTTGAAGCCATCTGTCTGATATAGTTCATCCTATCATTAAATTCTTTGTGGAAATTGTTACGTTCTTCAAAAACAAGATAAAGTAATAAACTGATAGGATGAAAGGAAAGGAAGGTATAATTAAATCTCTTCTTCAAATATGCTTAGTCCCAGAATGGGTAATATGTATATAGTATTCAAGATAACCAAAACCTACAGTCAAATCAACAAGCCATGTGCACAGTGCCTCATGAATCACTGAGGCAGCCATTGTTCAAGAAAGAAGGAAGACAACGGTCTTCGAAACAGCGAAGTACTGAACAGCAGATAAAAGGAAAAAATAATGTAAATAACAAAACTATGTTAACATGCTAGGCAAGCAGGATATACTTACCAATTAAGGTGCAATCAAAGGCATGGAGTGCTTAGTTTCTCCAGTGGTATGAAATATTACCACCTAAGAAGATACTACTATGGAGAGTCTACTAACAGATGTTATAAGGAATGAAGACAGTGATTTTTCTCTTACATCTAGACGATGGCCTTTGACAGAATTCATTAACACTAAGGCACTACTGCAGTGATGTTTCAGAATGAAGATTATCATTCGGACAATGAAAAGCATGAGCAGAAAAGTATGGGTTTGTACAGATATACATGAACACAGGCATATATACACCCCCCAATATGCCAGGTATGCCCACAGTTTTGTACAGTAGTTTTTTAATATATCCCTCTTCATTTCAGCCCTTGTCAGTCTTGTGGGTATATATTTTTGCTTTTTCAGGTAATCTTAAGAATTCACATGCTCATTCTCATGCATGAACATGCTATAGCAAAACAGTACAGATCTGCTATGGTCATCAGAAGCGTTCACCTCCATTTGTAAAGTTCTCAGACGCGTAAATCAGAGAACAGATACAATTTGGGGCATGACCACATACACTTCTTACAATGGGGATCATAAAATAAAGAGCTTATTGGGTGAAAATCATTTTCCTGGCATGTTTGTGGATCTCTATCACAAATGGAAAAAGTCAGAAATGATAAATCAAACACAGAACAAGAAAACCTCATGCAACAAAAATTCTAATAGGAACAGAAGACCATTTCTAAGTGTGCCCTACTGAAACACTAAATCCACTTCCTCAAAAAATGAGTCTATTATTTCATGGTGGGGGGCAGATTTCTTGCAAAGCTTGTGAGAAGAGTAAGTCTGCCAACAAGTACAGAAACAAATCACACAAATGTTACTTTATCAAATGCCTGATTTCCTGAAAGTTTAAAACATTGTGCAAGGTCACTCAGCTTCTTTAAAATAGAATGTCTGAATGTATGAAAGCTTTCCTCTTACAGAAGGGAAAAGGTGGTGATATTGAAAATATGTATTACATCTTATGTATAAAATATGTAACAGAGATTATGTCTAAAAGAAAATGCTTTTGTTTGTGAACATGCAACACCGATATTTCTTGATACTATGTGCTTTTTTAATCCAACTTCTTCATGACCTGTCTGTAAAAATAGTACCTTTATTAGTAGTAAGATGATTTAATTTTCAAATCAGTTAATTCCTCATTCTTTCTCAGAGGGCTAATGGATTTCTAGGACAACAGTGACTGTTTTGAAAACAGTGGGAATTGGACAGTGTTGTGTATTTTGGTTTTATATCTGGACTATAAACATAGATTGCCTCTGAGTGCAACCTCTGAAATGCTAGTCACCACAGTCCCTCATTCAAGAGAATGAGAACTTAATGCCTTTGAGATCTCTTAAGGTAAAATCCCATGCCATTTTCGGCTTGGGATACATTCAGGTTAGGGGCCTTACAGATGAACATGTTGGAAGCCATTTAGCACTAGTCTCCAAAATTATTTGTCCAGTGAGAGTTATAAAATCAAGAGGGCAATCTGGACTGGTTTTAGGAATGACTCGGAAATCAAAGCAAAACTCAGCAATTCAAATACAACCTGAGTGGCATTTCTGTCCTAACTGAAGTGAAGATTAAAATAATAAAACTCACTCTCATGTCTGAACCTTTGCAATTGTCTAAACTGAAGAATTAACGCATTTTGTTTTCTCTATAGGCTATTTTTCCCCATCAGAAGATACTCCCTAAATCTTTTAGACCAGAACTAAAACATGCATTTTAAGCATTTCCCAGTGAGCTGAAAAGCATTGATTTTAGGTTTTTTTCAAGAGCCTTCATTCCAGAATGTTACTTCCAAAGCAATGTAAGGATGAGTCTAGCCTAGGCTAACTGCACTTGCAGCTGCATTTTATATACAGTAGGCTTTAGATTAACCTTATTTATGCTACTGAGGCTACTATTAAAAATTTGTTGTATAACAACATTGACTGATCTTAATGTTTATAATTATGAAAGATGTGCAGTGGTATTTTCTGATTTGTTTATATTTCTAAGAAGCTGTGCCTTTTACACTGTTAAATGAAAGTCACCCCTATTACTCTGGCCTACTACACTTAAAATAGTAGTGAAAGCCATGGTGTATTAAAAATACATGTATCAATCCTCATTAGCTCCTTTCTGATTATGACACCATGCAGAAGCAGGATTGTTACACTGAACAGATAACCTAATCTGAACCACACCCTGGTATTTGGGGTTTTATCTTCACTTAAGGGTTCCTTCCCTGTTTCAGCTGAGATGTTTTACTGTGGAGAGTATAAAAAGACAAGAGAATTACATGCTCAGTCCCCCTGCAAGCTGCACCCCAGGTTTGTAACAGCCACCTTCAGCTGTCATCAGAGACTTCACCCTGGAAAAAAACAGCCACATAAAAACATATAGTCATCACTTAAAAAACAGCAGCACTCCCAACATAGGATGAAAAGAGAGCAGCGTAAAATTACGGCTTGGACATAGTTGGATGGAGCAATGCCAGGCAGGGGTTTGGGCTCCAGATCTGCACAGTATCTTCGAGACCAAGCACAGCTGTGCCACCCCTGGGAGAGCAAGGTCTGCATCATCTGCAAGAGGGCTTGCGTGGACATGCTACGGCTCCTGGAGCTTGCTAGGAATGTGGTAAGAAATTCTGGCTGACGTAACTGTTGTGCTACACTGCTGGCAGCAAGAACTGACAGGGAGGGCACATTTCACTGGCTGTGTTTTTCATTCTTAATTGGTAATCTCCCCCTTGGGTTTCAAGTTTGAAAAATCTTTTTTCTCTGTGAGTCTAAATCAAAACGCTTAATTCTTCTTCTCTCCCATATAACATAAAAGCAGAGCTGGAGTTGCCTCTGAGTCTTATTTTCCATTGCACTACACGCAGGGAATATGCCAATTTTTGTTTCGTGACTTGTTGCATAGGCATTTTTCATGCCTTCCTCCTGCTGCCAGTTTCTTTCTTTTTAAAGCTTGCCTACAAAGAGATTGGCTGATTGGCACTAAAATATTTCAGGCAGCTGACGATTTGGACAGCTGCAAAGACAGGCTTTTTGCCAGCTTGGAGCATTGAATGCAATTCTTCTGTTCCTCTTTACTTTGGATTGCTTTTTCAAAATGAAACCACAGACTGGGCTGTAGTTTTCCTTGTGGGCCTATGTAAGGAACTTAACAAAAGGTATACAGAGCTCATGGGATAGCGTGCGAGGGCATTGCATGACAAAGGAATAAGAAGAATTTCTCTGCCTCACTGATTTTTAGTAGACTGTCACATAATAAGTGTAGGGTCCACAAGGGCAAAAGGGAGATATTAGAGGATGTAGGAATCAATAGCTGAAGCACTGAAAATAGAGTGCCAAGGAGTTATTTTTAGCTCTTCAGGTTTTTTTTTTCTTTTTAGCAGGGGAAATTAATTGGGAATTAGATCAGGCACTGCTAGGTTAACTGAACATTACTATTTTCCCATAATTATTATATTTTCTTTAGCAACTGCCCCCACCACCCAAAAAAAAGAAAGAGTAATTTGTACAATCCAAGGCTATGCTCTGCCTCTGTGATGAAATTTTTTCTTTTTTTCTCTTATATTTGAGATTTAATTAGGGTGCCCTCCCACCAGTTACTGTTTTCTCTCTTCAGAAAGTGTCATAAGCAATACTTTACAGATCTAGTTCTCATTCATATTAAAGCGACTTTGGAACATTCAGACAACTTTTGCAATTAATGCAATTTGGAGCCTACTTCTTTTTCTTGTTAGCAGCAAATTGTGGGCAATGTTGAAAAGATGGCATGGGCAGTATCCAATTTATGGAGCTCCATTTAGAGGACCCTTGATCAATTCTGTTGATACTCATTTAAACATAAATAACTTCCAATGTCGTCATCATCACAACATGTTCATGTTTTCTCATTGTAACTATTTTAACCCAAAAAGTTGAAAGATAAGGTTAGACCTTTAGATATGCTTAATAATGTGTACAAGATCTCAACATTTACTGAGCTACGTATTTTAGTATGTGTATAAAATGTTTGCAGGATTAGCACTGAAAATATATGCAAGAGCTATGTAAATATGTATACATATGTATGTAAATGCATGTGAATACATATGAATATCCTTTACATGAGAGTCACATGTAAATACCTCTGAATTTTCAGTATTTTTAATTCTTCTCAGGCCAGAAATTCTCTCATAATTTACATTTAAAATAACAGTGATATTACTTTTGAGATAGTCTTCAATATTAATATATGTAGGATATGAATGTTCCTTATCTACAGAGGGCTGTTAGCTTGGGAACAAGTTTTCTTTCTTCTGTGAATTTTTGTTCTGAGTATTTTTTTATGTCAAAGAACTTATGGGGACAAAACCCTTCAGAATAATAGCAACGTTTCTGGGGCCGTGACGGTGGAGGGATACAAGAGAAAAGAAACAGTGCTCCTAGAAGGAGAAAATGTTTTTTTACCAGATTACTGACATAGCTGGAAAGGGACTTTTGGGTCTGTCATCAGATCTTTGAAGCTTTTTCTTTGTGGCTGTTATTGAGCCACTTAATATAAATATGTAACAGAGTTAATTGTAAGTGCCAGCAAGGATACTCATATTTAGGATACCAAACAATAATTTAGTTTAGGTCACTTTATTTAACTTTGTTCATACCATTTTGATACTTCAAGGCTGGAGGATGCTCCCTCTGCTTTCTCGTTTTCAAGATTTCCTTTCTACATTGCCTAAGCAGTGTGAAATGACTCATTTCCACATTAGGAAAGAAAAGCAACAGCACTGGTTTGGCATATGCATAAAAGTTAACTTATTCAAGCTCTGGTAGAAACTGTCATAAGACATCCACCTTAGTCATCTCTGAAATGTTTTTCAAACCCATTCTCTTAAACTCTGTGCTACATCATTAACAAGCAAGCCAGCTTCAAACGTATGAAATGTCACTCTCAGTCCTGCTCAGAGTCTTTTGTAGCACATAGGACATGCTCACTGTAACAGATCCTACACTCATAAACACAAAATGATGCTTGCATTGCAAGGAACATAAATTTGCTGTTACCTTGGTCCCATATACACTTATCTAGTGACTGCTGAAGCCTGTAAGGAAGCTGTGAATTGACTGCCCTCTTTGTTTTTAAGCGTGACTCCCCACATCACACCGGAGAATATTTTCTTTGTAATGGAAAGTCTTTCAAAATAAACTCTTCCTACACTTTACAGGCTACATTAGACTACTTACCTCTAAAAGTATTCCATTTAGTGTGAAATCCAAATAAATCTTTAAAAAAGTCAACAGTAAGAATGTGATTCAAGAAAAATTAAGTGGTGAAGACTTGGGAAGACACGTGAAGATACTGGAACGAGTCCTACTAAGAGAAAAATTGTTCATGCATTAGCAACTTGACGTATCAATTTTTTTTCTAAAATTCAAAACGTGGCACTTTAGGATTGTCCCCAAGGATGCGTGTAATTCTGTCATCAGTTTTTAAAACTAATAATTTCCACCCACTCTGGCAAAAAAAATCAGCTTTTTTTGTATTGCCAGTAATAACTCTGTATCAAAGTTCTCCAAAATCCATCTCAAACAAGATCATCGTATCCTATGAGCCATGAGAAGTTGATATGGAAAGAAAGGGAGATAGGAGAGGTTATTTTATATTTGGATTGGTTTGGGATTTTTTATTAAAGAGGTTCACTTATTTCCTGGTATATCAAAGATGAGATCAGGCTCACAGAAAGAAGAGAGAGCTTTATAAGCAGAAATTTTTACTTTAGGTTTCAATACTTCCATTTCATTTTAATCTAAAATTTACCTTACGTTAGGCAAGGGGCAGGAAAAAAAATTAGTTTTTATACTGACAAAGCTTTTGTTGCATGCTGTAGATTAGTAAAGATTGTAGTAATAGTAAAATCACACAGGCGCCAGTAGCAGGACACATCATTCACTGTGCATCTCTGCCTTTTTTGCTTCTGAGGGTATCTATTGTATATAAAATAAATCATTTGAATAGCCTTTCAGCAATTTAAATTCATTTACATTTTAAACATCTTTTAAATGTATGGTTATAACAAGTTAATCTTTTTGTATACTATTTTACATCTTCTGTTTAGTATTCTGGGATGTTAATTATCATATCTCAGAAATATTGCTTGGGATTTTTTTTAGATGACCAAGTTTTACATATTCAATTAAAATATCTAAGCTTTCAGGGTTGCTGCTTAAATTTTTCAGTTTAATAGTCAGGGGACTGCTATCAGAGCGTCTATTGCGTAATGAATTCACCCACTAGAGGCAAGAAAGATTAGAATAGGAAAAAACAAAGTTAGTGGGTTAGGACCACTAGCATTGAGTATGCCATGTTTAAGAGACATTATAAGTAATTCTCTTTCCTCTCCCTCAAGGAGCTCTGTGGAGGTGCTTCTCTGAAAGACACGGCACCTGCTGTCATCACAGTGTATTCCTGCCTTCAAATAAGATTGCTTTCCAGAAGGAAAATCAAGCCATGTGCATTAAGCAGCTAAATGTAAGTACAAACTAGCAATCTTTGCTCTGCATGCATTTCCTGAGCACCAGATGATCTAAGATGATTTCTGCTGTATTTGCATGGCGTGGGTATGCAAACCTGTTTTTGCCATCAAAAATTTATGCAAGAAGGAAAACTTCAAGTTCTTACAAGGATTGTACGGTTCATAAAAATGTGTAAGCAGTGCTGTAAAACTTGGAGGTGAAGCCTCCAGGTAGTACTGGTAGTGCTACCTCCAAGGTAGTAGGAGACATATCAAAATGGTGTGAAGGTATTTTGGACACTTATCATGCCATCCTCCATCAGATGATGTGGTCACAGCCATGCTCTCTCGCAGCCCTGACAGCTGGGCATAATGACTGTACAAATCAGTAACGGGGGCCAGTACTGCCAGTGCTATTGTTCAGCTCTTGTGCTGGTTGAAAGTGGCTTTGAGGAAGGGTGCGTGAAGCAGGGATCCACGTGTATAGTATCATAAAAACTGGTTTACTCTCTACTGTAGGCAATTAGAAGTATTTGTTCTTGTTTTGGGGGGTGTAGAGAGCCTATATGACAGCTTTTCAGTTGTCACACTTACTGCTCTGTTAGGTTGCCCCTGAAAGCTGTCCCAGTAACGATGGCCTAGGCTGCATCCATGTTGCAGGTCTTGGGATGTCAAAAATGTCCATGTCTGCACATAAGGTGGAGTGCTTTTTGGCCTGTTTTTTAATCTCACAAGGATTGGTAAAGCCTCCTGGCAAAGCCCCGTTAGCATTCACCCAGACCGTGTTTAGTTTCCACGGGGCAGATCTGCAGAGTGAGACCATCTGCCCCAACAAGCTTCTAGGCTATGTAATGTGATGTGAGTTGTGAACCAACTCACAGTTGGCTGAGACAGCTTAAAGAGCAGCCTGAAGATAGGGTGCTCCCAAAGTCTCATTCCTAGCATAACAGCCTGGGGTGCCTCTGGGCAGCCTAAAGTTTTTCCAAAAGATGGATAATTCAGGACAGGGTTTTGGCACCAGGGCCACTAACAGGCAGCACTGTAACAGGGCAGTGCAGACATGGGCAGAGTCAGTACGAGTGGTGAAACTGCTATACTAATAGTCCTGCCTCAGATTAATTCTGTATTTTCATTTCCCAACTTCTAATATGCAATGGAGAGAGAAAAAAATGCAGTCATGTTCAAATGTCAGCACAGCAATATGTTGGTGACCAACCATGGTGCATGACTAAATGTCATGCTTCCCTGAATCGCAAATCAGTTACAGAGCTATCAGGCCACTAGTTTAATTCTCCTACTAAATTGGCAGTCGTTTGACCCAAGAAGTTGCCATTTAGCATGTGAATTACAAGATTTCATCAATTTTTGCATTTATCCAAAACAATCAAATGAGCCAAAAAAGTTATCACTTTCAAATTGAGAGTTTTATTGCACTCATTATATCTGAAACTTTTTCTTTGTAGGTCTCACACCTGCAGATGCATCTATATATGTAGAAAATCGCATTCCAATTTTCAACTTTTGAGTAGGTTTAAAGCAGCTCGTTTCCCTTTTAAAAAATTGTAGAACAGTTTATGAAGAAAATCATCTTACCACTATGGCAAACTCAAAGGTCTAAAGAGTTTCTGACCAGCAGTGTGGTAACTGTACAAAATTTAGTAGGTTGTGCAGAAGTTCTTAGTTTACATTTTGTTTTCATTTGTATGACCACCGAATTGATTACGTTTAGCACCTAAATCAGACTCATAAAGTCACAGGGTTTGTGAAGCTCTCCCCGTTATCTTCTCTTCCAAGTGGCAAGATCAGCAGTTTGTTCTTAAATGCCTCTAATGATGGAGACTCCACAAGCTCACCAGGCATTTAACTTTGCTATTTCCCTATTCTTACCATTGGAAAATGTTGAGAATGACTAGCCTGAATTGCCCTTGCCACCGTTTACTCTTGTTCTGTCTCCTATAATCATGGAGAATACTTGTGCTGCTTTTTTTTTTTTATGACACCTTTTACCTATGCAAAAATAAAATAAATGGTCTGATTTTGAAGATGTTACAAAAAAATCCACTCTTCTGCTTGAATACAGAAGAGTCTGCAAGTGCTGTTGCTGTTCACCTCAAGCCACCTTTTTGATGGTCTAATTAGAACTCTACTTTTGGACTTTAACACTGAAAATGTTCATCGAAAACCCCTCATCTTTACAGCTATGAACCTACTAACAAAAAACCTGAAGGCTCCAAAACATTCCTTATTACCTCCTATCTTTGTCACCAGCACCCATCCCTTCCAAGCTGTGCCCCTAAAAGCATCCTGACACAAGTTTATCTAAAAAGCCTACAAAAATAAAAAAATAAACTCATCCCCGAAGAAAGCAAATTAATAAAAGGGAAAGGTGTCAAAGTCTTCAAGAGATTTATTTAGGACTTTGCTAGTAACATAAGAACCTGAGAACGGCCAAAAGTAGCACAAGTCAGGCCCATGACAGATTGTTGAGGTCTATAGTGCAAAACAATATATTTGTTTATTCTCATTTTCTCAGTGCAAAATAGCAAGCACCAGGAAAGGAGCTACTGCACTTTAGGTCAATGGAAAAACAATCAGCAAGTGACTGCAGTCCCAGCCTCCCCATAGCCTTTGCTCTTTCAATATAGATGCAATTCCTCATGGGTCTGTTTGTCCCAACACTTGTTGTCCCAACAAATGATTATTTTAGTTAAGTGAATCTCCCTTCTGAAAGCTCTGATTGCTCATGCATTTGCCACCCTCCAAGTAAGCTCCTATCTGCTTTGGGATCTTTTTAAATCAAAGGTGACTAACACAATGAGTAGGGAAGGTTATATCTTTATCTTATTTTTGTATCCTGGCAGGCCTGTATGAATATTCAGACTCCCCAGGGTATCTGAAGTGAAGTTACAGCAAGAAAAAGAATATCTACAGCATTTCAGTGGCAATATCCAGGACATCAGCTTTAAACAAGATTGAGTTGGATATTCCAGTAGTAAAAAACACCCCAGATATATGTTAGATGAGTGGCCACTACAAGAAGTGGCATATAGGGTGATAATCTCTATGACACTCGCCCTGGGTGCGTATTATCACCAGTGCATTTCTGATAGTGGTGTGTAATATCTTGAAAGTCATTTGGTGCTCCAAATTCAATTAGAGAGGTATTTTACAACAGATTACATTTTTGTAGGCTGGAGTGTTGTAAACTTTTATTCCACCATAAAACATTTTAAAATAAAGTAAACAGGTCTCAGAAGGCTCAAAGAGAGTTGCCTCCTGCATGTACATTTAATTATATACAGTATAATACATATTAAAATACAGGATATATAAGGGAAGGCCACCTACCTGCAACAATTACATGTAGAATAAAAGCGGATTAATACTGCTCAATTTTCATGTCAATGACTTCGTATAAATTCATGGAAAACTGCCACAGCAAGTAGTCATTACTGCTACTACAGTGTAACATTAAACAGTGGTCAAGGAAAAGAAGCTTTTGACATGGAAATAGTCTGCTTAATACAGGCCTTCATTGACAGGGTTTCATTCAGCTGCCTGTTCTCTACTATACAGAATAGGATGATATAATGAAATATAACAGAATTGGCTATTATTTGTTAGTAGGTGCATGAGTACCAAAAAAAAATTGAAATTAATAGCAGAGCAAGTCAAATAATATACCTTCCTTTTAGCACCTCTAATGGTTTGTCATGCTGAACTGATGGTTGTTTGTGTTCTCCTCAGATTTTAGATTAAGATGTTTAGAAGGAGATATAGGAATATATATATATATATATGTATATATATATAAAATATATAGGAACTAACTCCGAATTTGTGGGCTGCAATGTACCTGCTAAGTTTGCATACATGGATGAAAGACTATTAGCCACACTATACTTCCCAGGCCAAGACTGCAAGGAGGCTATTTCAGCAGACCAAGGACACAAATCACTGACCATCATAAAAAAACTGGCAAAACCAGCCTTTCAGTCAGCCTATCAATTCTGACTGATTAAAGAAAAATCCTTGTTCCTGGGAACATGCTCAATCCTAAGTATGCAGGCAAACTGTTCAGTTGATAAGGCCAAGCTGTGCAAGTGTACTTCTTTAATGAACTGAATGACCCTAGAAAACAACGGTGGAATTTCTTGCTTATTTGTCAGAAGAATTTGTTGGATTCAACATAAAATAGATGCTTCCAGTTTTCAGTGGATGGTTCAGATTTTGAGCATCTGCATTTGACAAGTGTAGACCAAGCAGATCTCGTCTTACTATACGTGGATGTAGGGAGGTTGGAGGGAGTGTCTCAAGAGTAAGGGATTGTCCCGGGCTGCTCCTTCTTGGAATCAGCTTTGACCTTTCCTGGAAGGCCAGGGTGAGCCCAAGTCTGGGTGCAGAGGTGCATCTCTTGCTCTTGGTTTCAGGCTGCAGAAGACACCTCCACCCTGGCAACAGGCAGGCACTTTGCATCCTAAGAACATTACCTATCATAGCTGCAGTGCCTCAATTTTTCATTCAATAACCCTGTCCTCTCAGTGATTTTAGTTTTCAGAGGTCTAATTCAAGGGCTGGCATGTTTACAGCCAAAGTGAAGTTCACGATCCCCAAATATAGACACTCAGTTGATGCCACTTCTTCCTGGAAATAGTAGCTTCACTTAACACAATATAATTGCACATTATGAAATTACAGCTATGCATGTAGTAGAGTAATGCTAGCGCTATTTACTGGTAGCATGACAGTAATTCTTCCAGCTATCTGTTGTGTTAATGGCTGTAGGTCACAGTGGTATGGGTACTGAGGGCTCTTTCATAGGCCTGCGTTGTCCAGCAACAGCACCCAGTTGTTCAGGGTTTTGCAGAACAAAATTTGCAGTGGGAATTTCTTTCACACCCAATTCCCTTCTTCACTCTCTCTTGCCTATTACGTTTCTGTTTTTGTAATATGATGTCTAGAAGTCATTGGAAAACAGCAAAGAGGGTGCAACTGCCATCTCTTAAGGGTTTTTTTT